GGAGGTCTACTAAAGGGAGGTTTGTCCACCGACGAATAATGTTCGTAGATGTACGGATCATTCTACGCACTTGCGTAGATTCGACGAACACATCAAGTCTGGGGCAAACCAGTTCTGTGGTCGATCCCCTACTTGAAAGACGGCCGACGTGGCCCTCACGAGGGCTCCAGGATGGGCCAATGTTGGGCTCCAGGACGGGCTCCAGCCCCTCGCGTGCCTTTTCCTGATGCATCCGGAAAGGGCACGCGAGGGGGGCCTTTGAGCGCGCAGCACACTGGGTCTGGGCCCTTCCAAGAGCACTTGAAATTGTCAGCGCGGGGACCTCGAAGGGACCTGAGGACACTCTGGTCGGCGTTTACGGCACGGTTGCGGACCATCGCCAAGGTGATGACAGCGTTTCCGAATTTTTTTACGGCCTTGGGTTGTCTTGCGAGGCGAGGCTGACGACGAAGGGAGACGGACGCGACGTGGTCTTTGGTTTCAGGGCCCATCGTTGTCATCACCCCTGGCCTCTCTCCCACATCTTCTGTGGCGGCTGATCGACTACGCGCTCTCTCGGTATACGCCCCCCTCGATCCGCCGTCTGCCTTCCATCTTCTGCAGCCGTAGCCGGAAGTGAAACTTTTCGTTTCCCAACACAGCTTTCAGGTGCAAGCGCCTTCATGACCTGCTGAGGGGGTGGGGAGGAGGAGGAGGAGGAGGAGGAGGAGGAGGAGGAGGAGGAGGAGGAGGAGGAGGAGGAGGAGGAGGAGGAGGGGGAGGAGGAGGAGACATTCCCTAGACATTCCCCTGACGACATGGTCGAGAGTCGCCGCACCGCCGCCCGCCCACCTCAGGGCGTCTTCGAGGCGGCGGCGACTGCGTCGGCGGCCCGCGGGCGGCCTGGCCCCGCGCCTGGGGGCGCGTCGGGCCGCGCCAGCGGCGCCCCGCTGTGCCCGCCCGCAGCAGGGCCCTCCTCCTCCAGCGGGCGAGGCGTGCCTCCCGCGCGGCGGCCCCTGGGCCAGCCGCTCGCCTGCGGGGGCTCCAGGCGGGGCTGGCCGCCGCGCGGGTCTCCGCGCTCCCGCTGGCGGCTGGGGCGGCGGTGTGGAGCCCGCCAGGGCGGTGTGGAGCCCGCCAGGAGCTGCCTCAGCGTCGCCAGCGGCAGCACCTTGGTCTTGGGCGGGCTGCTTCCCCTGGCCGTCGTGGCTGATGGGCTGGACCTCGCTCTCTCTCTTGCGGCCTCCAGCGCCCTCCTGGCTTCTTCGCTTCTCCTCTGGCTGTCGGCTGCCTCGCCCTGCTTGAGCTCCAGGATTGTCTCCTTCGGCTGGCACTGCCTGGCCAGTTCTCTCGGCGTAGCCGCCGCCTCCAGCAGCCGCGTCGCCCTCGCCTCGGTCTCCTGCTCGCTCAGCTTGGGCTTGGGCGGCCTCGGCGGGGAGCGTGGGGCGGCAGCTGCAGCCTCCTGGCTCCTATCAGCTCGCCGCTCTGCTTCACTCCGCCTCTGAAGGGGCCTGCCGTGCCTATCCGGCGCGTCTGCCTGCTCCAGCGTGCGTCTCACAGCGCGGGACGCTCCCCTCCCATTATCCCTCTTGGAGGGGCCTCTGGGCACTCCTGGTCCCAGGGGTGGGAGGGGGTCCTCGCGCGGGGGAGACAGGTCGCTGTCGAGCACCGCGGCGTGGTCGTCGCGCAGCTCCTCGTCAGCTTCTGCCGCCCTCGGGATGTCGTCCTCAGGGTTCGCATCTGGTGCCTCCTCACTCGTCCTTGCAACACCTGGGAGGCCATCCTCGTTCATCGCATCTGGCTTGTCCCCTGGCCACATCCTCCACTCCTCTGCGTCTGCAAGCTTGGTCCAGCTCTTCAGCAGGCACCTCCTCGACTCGCAGGTGGGGCGGAGGCGGCAGGGTGCCTGCAGCTTGTCCGAGACCATCTCCGTGGCGGAGCTCGCACACAGCGTGCAGAACCAGCGCCTCTGGCGGCCCAGCCATCGCAGGGGGTGCGATGGGTGCGAGGTGTGGCCGTTGAACTCTATGCACCTGCCTGCCGCTGGGGGCGGGCCTCCGCACTTCTGCTCGAACCACTCCTTGATGCTGGTGAGGGCCGTTGCCGGCGTGACCGACTGGTTGCAGCACTTGCACCTCCACCCTCGTCCTCGTCTGAGCTTCACGAGGTCGTGAGTGGTGGCTGGCCGTCTGTGGAGGTCTTGCGTGAGGAAGTCCGCCTTGACCTTTCTCAGCGCTCTCCTCTGCATGACCGCGTGCCGCCTCGCCAGCTTTAGCTCTTTGTTCTCTGTCGGCCTCCGCTCCATGGCGTCCTGGGTGCAGGCCGCAATGCGAGCCCTTACCAGGCTCGCTGTCGCCCGCACCCATTCGTAGCAGCCCATCTGGTTCTCGGGGATGGCGTGCTGCTTGGCCCCTGCATCGGCCAGTCTGTCCGCCTCTTGATTTCCTTCCCAAGCCTCTCTCGGGATGTGCTTCTCCTCCGCCTCCGTCTCCGTCAGGTGGCTGTTCAGGTGGCACATTGTGACGATCTCTCTGCCACCTCCTCTCTCGGCGATGGCCTTCCGCACGCGGCGCCAGAGGTCGCAGTTGGCTGCTCCTTCTGGACGCTCATCGCGCCGTGCGTGCCAGCCGACGAGGGTGATCTCGCTGTCCGTCCAGAAGGTCAGGCCCCCGCACGTCGACTCCAGGCAATTGATGAACGACCACAGCTCCGCCCTGTTGTTGGACTGGCGCGCACCTGGCAGCGGGCCGAACTTCGCGGCCCTGGTCGGGAAGTCTCGGGAAGTATCTGGGGCGCCCTCTGGTGTCCAGCATCACCCAACTCCACCCGCATCGCCTGTACCTCACGTCGCTGCTGTACTCGCCGCCTGAGCCGTCCCCGCTGATGGTGAGCTGCCCACCCTCTGGGGCTTGCAGTCTGCCTCCCTGGAGGCACTGCCCCAGCGGCGTCTCCTGCTCCTCCGTGCCGCACGGGGGTGGCACCGTCCAGGCCTTAGGCGTGAGCCCTCTGAGCCAGAAAGCTGGGGCTCCCGCCACTCCTGCTTCGGCTCTCGCAACGAGTCCTGCCGTCTTCTCCACCACCTCCGAGGGCTTCCTCGCAGTGCATGCTCCCCAGATGCGGTGGAAGTCGTCCTCGCGCTGCCCGCACTCGCAGGTCTCGTCGCCAGTGTTGAACTCCTGGCGCTTCCTTGCCTGCGTCCAAGTGCCTGCGCACGCTGCCGCCAGCAGCGCCCCGTAGGTCTGGTGCTTGCCGCGCTTCCTGAGGGACTCCAGGTGCTTGATCATATCCGTGCAGTCCACCCCGTGCTCCATGCCAGCGCCGTTGTGGTGAGCTGCTGCCTGCCTCCATAGCTGCCTTCTCACGCTGTCCAGGAGCGCCTCAATGATCACCTCTGGGTCTCCGTCCTCCTCGTCCTCTGGGAAGCGCCATCTGCAGCCGTCCTCGTCGATCCAGATGTCTGGCCCCCTCGAGTCCCAGCCTAGCTCCCAGAGTAGCAGGATGATGCTGCCCATCACTCCTCGCCTCTGCTGCCAGCGCCGGCTCGGGTCCGTCTGCAGGAGCCTGAAGTATACCCTGGGCCAGGCCTTGCGCGCCTGCTCCCGCAGGTCCTGGCTCTTGGCCCACAGGTCGAACCAGGCTCTGAGCTGGCTCCGCGTCATGGCGACCGCTGGGTCGACCCCCTCCAGCGCCAGGAAGGTGGTGAGGCAGCGGCCAGGCCACGCTCTCCTCAGCGCCTGCGCATACCTCCTCCTGGCGTGCCTGAGGGCCCACGGAGAAAGCCCGTGGGCGGCCACCCCGTACACCAACGAGGCTGTTGGACCTTGGTGGGCCACTCCTCGCCTCCTCTTCAGCTTCAGCTTGCGCAGCTTGAAGCCGACCGCTCCGAACCTCTTGTGCGCGTCCTGGGCCCTCTTCGCATGCGTGGGCCTCCTGGTAGTACCTCTTGCTGCACGGTCAGCTCCGAGGTCTCTGCCCTCTGTGACCGCCTTGACCTTAATCCCAAGCTGGTTGAGCCTGGACTGCACCTGGAGCGTGGTACCGAAGTCCGAGGTGAAGATCCGCGTCTTGTCCGCCATGCTGAGCCCGTGCTGCTCCAGCCCCCACTTCAGCTTGCTCGTAGCCAACGTGAGCTGCTCCGTGACCGCCTCCTTGCTTCCGACGACCTTGATGCTGATGTCGTCGAACCAGGCTCGCGGCATAGGCTTGGGCAGCACCGAGGCGACGTCCACCATGTGGCTGAGCACCGCGTAGACCACCGTCTTGGCCACGTTGTTGGAATGCCTCGAACCCGCCAGGATCGATCTGTCCGCCAGCATCGGCTCCGAGTACGAGTTCTTGCGCCTCAAGATTCGGGCTCCCGATTGCTGCAGCAGCAGCATGGTGAGGAGCCTCGGGCAGAAGTTCAGCTTGAGCGCCTCTGGGATGAGGGGGTCGATAAGCAGGCTGTCGTAGAACTTCTCGATGTCTGCCAGCGTGCAACCCTGGAAGATGCCGAGCGCGTCGCAGCACTCGTCCGAGAGGATACGCCTCAGCGCCTCCCTCTTGCAGCTGTTGCCCGCCACCGCCGCGTCCCACTCGCGCTCCTGCTGCTTCGCCCACTCCCTCACCGCGGGCCTGTGGAGGAGCTCACAGCAGCGCGCCAGCTGCGGGAGCAGGGCCAGCGCGCGGTCGCCCTTGGCTGGCTTGGGAATAATCATGACCAGCGCGTTCAGGAGCTGCCAGGGCCACATCAGCTTCAGCTCGCACTCGTTGAACAGGTCCACGATGGCTTGTCGCCCCGCCGTCGGTAGCCGACGGATGTCGCTACAGCAGAGCTTGTCTACTCCCTGGCCCTTATCGGGCTCCCCCGCGAGGGCGAGGTCCAGGTCGTCGACAGTCCACTGTGGCACGTCCACGGCTGCCGCTCGCCTCCTGAGGTCCCCGAGCAGCTGCGTTTGCGTGCTGTGGGCGACCTCCTCGCACCTCCAGATCTTCGCGAATGCCTCGGCCTTGGCGTCCACGATCTCCATCGGGCTGTCCGTCACGCCCGTCTCCGTTGCCAGCTCCTCCTCGCGTCTGCTGGGCGGCTTGGTGATCCTGTGGAGCACACCTGGCTGCCTCTCTGCGGCGGCTAGCCACCGCCCAAAGCTCCGCGTGCTCTCCCTCAGGTCCCTGTTCACCGCCGCTCTCCTCTCCTGCTCGGCCTGCATGGCCATGCCCTCGACGATGGCCACGTCGAGGTCCTCCAGCGCCGCCAGCCTCTGCCGCCAGATGCTGCGGTGCAGGGGTGCCGTCTCCGAGGCCTCGCGGCCTGCCTGGGGCATGCCGTCGTAGGCGCCAGCTCTCGTCCTGCTCGGGCGAGCTCACGCTGCTGCTTCACACCTCTGCCTCTCCTCCTCAGCTTGGCCAGCATGGTGAGCAGGGCCTCGGCCCTGGCCCACCAGTCGGCGCTGTGCTCGCTGAACTTCAGCCTCCTCTCACCGAACTCCCTGGAGTTGGTGACCTTCAGCTCGTAGGCCTTGCCGCGGCCCGTGAAGTGGTGCCTGTCGACGGGGTCGATGCGGTAGGTCATGCAATAGAACCTCTCCGGCGTGCCGATGGTGTTCGCGAAGCGGTCCCCTAGCTCCATCGCTGCCGCCGCGTCCACCTGGTAGGCCGCGCAGCTGCTGATGTAGGAGGGGATCTCGGAGGTCTCGCTCTGCTCCTGGTCCTGCAGGGCCTGCGCTGTCGCCCAGACGTGGCCCATGGTGGTGGTGTCCACTTCAGCAGCCGCCTCTCGGATTCTTCTCCTCAGGTCGTCCTCGATACTGCTGCTCTCTGGCTCGGGCGAGGTCCCCCGACTATGCCGCTCGCTGTGTTCGCGGTTCTCGTGGCGTCCGCGGGCTGAGCCCTCCCCCTCGCGTTCAGTCTGTCGGTTTCCCAGGGTATAGGTCCGCTCTGTTAGTTGCGAGGTCCTGTCTACCACAATGTTGGTCACGTAGTCCGCGTCATGCCCTCTGGGCTCGTCAGGGACCTCCGCCTCGGAGCCTTCTGTTATTTGCAGCAGCTGCTCCTCTTCGATGTGATCTTCAAGATCTGCGAAGGGGTCCGCGTCCGCACCTGACCATCCTGGTGTCGCTCGCATCCTTGTCGAACCTGGGAGGCCAACCCCATGGTTCGCATCTGACTCCTTCCCGCCCATCCTTACACAGACTGCGCTCTCGGCGCCAGGGTTGGCCCCCGCGGGGAACCCGTCCAGCCAGCCTCGACTGGCGCCAGCGCCTCCCACCGTGCGTTGTCCAGCGCCTGCTCGAAGTCCTGAGGCGGTGGGCGCTGCTCAAGCTCCTCCTGGCCTCCTCCTCCAGCCGCTGCTGCCCGCGCCTGCGCTGCTGCCTCCTCCCTCACTTTCCTCCTCGTCCTCTTGCTGCCTGGGCATGGCTGCTTCTTGGGTCGGGGAGGATGAGGGACGGGCTGGGGCATGCGCAGCGAGCGGGTCCTCGTCTCCTGGGCCTCGGCGTAGAGCGTGAACTTCAGCCCGATGTGCGGCTTCCACGGCACGTCGTAGACCGCCTCCACGCCCTTGATCAGCTTCTGCCCTTGCTCGTTCACCAGGGCGTTGTCTATCATCGACTCGTGCTCTCCCATCTGGCAGGTGAAGTCGCTGTCTGGCAGCGAGACGATGGCTGTCGCCCCCATCGCAGCTGGCCAGCCTGAGTCCCACATCTCCGACGGCGCCTTGTCGAAGTCGCCGCAGACGATCCATGCGCCGCTCAGCCCCTTCAAGAACGAGGCGAGGGCTGTCAGCTTGCGGGCGTTGATGCCCTCGTGCAGCGACTGGCCAACGTCCAGGTAGAGGCTGATCACCGTGATTGTCGTCCCCGAAAAGTGCCGCGTGACTGGTGTCCAGTCGCGCAGGTCCAGGTCGGCTTTCCACTCCCCGCTCACGTCGGTCGTCGCCTTCGTGACTGTGGTCTGCCTGGCTTGGCACCGAAAACTCGAGGTCCGCAGGTGTCCCCTCATGGCAACCGCCGTCCCTCCGCAGGAGCCCCTCTCGGAGCGTGAGCTGGGTCTCGCCGCCGTGAAGCACGCCTTGTATCCCAACTTCACAAGTTCGCACTCCACGGAATCTAAGTTTGAGCTGCCCACGTGCGTCTGCTGGAACGCGTAGGCGTCGTACCCCTGGCCAATCTTCTGCTTGGCCATCCACAGCCTGGCTGTGGGTCCCCAGCTGGTGAGGTTCGCGCAGAACAGTGTGCGCTCGCGGGGCTCGGCGGCGCCGCCTCCTTTGCGTCGAGCTCTGCGCGCCTGTCCTCAGGCCGCGGCTGCCCCCCCTGGGCTGCCTGCGCCTGTCTGCTCCCTCAGCTGTCTGAGGTACTCCTCGGCCTCCGCGTCTCCTCCTCCCGCAGCCTGTGGCGACCCAGCCGTTGGTGCCGAGGCCGCAGTGGGGGAGGCTGCTGGCTGCTGAGGCTCGGCAGCAGGCGTCGCTTGCTGCGCGGGCTCCGCTGCGCCTCCTCCCTCAGCCTTCCTCTTCTTCGCCGCCTGGTGGATCGTGGCCTGCTGCTCCGCCGCCTTCAGCTTCGCCGCCGCCAGGTGCTCCTTCAGCTGCGTCGAGAAGGTCTGGGCGTTCTCCTTCATCTGGGTCACGACCCTTTTCTTCACCTCTTCCACTTGCTTGCGGCCCTCTTCGTCCAGGTCGGCAGCGGTCAAGTTCAGCTCGCGCTCGATGTCCGCTGCGGGCTGGCCCGCTGCCAGCTCCTCCACCTGACCGCTGACCAGCTGCTCCAGGACGCCCTTCGGCGGGTCGCGGCCCTCCGCCTGGATGGCCTCGAGCTCTCTCTCCGCCTTGAGCACCGCCGCCGCCTTTACGTCGAGCTTGGCTCTCGCCTCCTGGGCGACTGCGTCCGCTCTCTTCTTGGCCGCGAACGCCGTCGAGTACGCCTGGTTGGCCTCCTGCAGGGCCTTGGCCGCGATGCCTAGCCTCTGCGCCCTTGACTTGGGCGGAGGCTCTGGCACCGCGGCCTTGATCGCAGCTGCCGCTCCCTGCAGGGTCCTCGAGATGGCCTCGCCATTGGACAAGTTGAGGTCCCCCAGCGTGTCCGTGAGCAGCTTCAGGGCGTGCGAGACCTTGTCCGCGCCCTTCGGCATGCTCTTGGTACTGCTCTGCTGCTGCGGCCCCCTGCTGCTGTTGGCGCTTGTGCTGCTGCTGCTGCCGCTGCCGCCCCAGTCCGACTTCTTCGGCGTCTTGGGCTTCGGCAGGGCGGCTCTGCACTTGCACTGGTAGTGCATCGCCTCCAGGCGTGAGCTCCACCACCACTCGCCGCAGGCCTTGCACACCACGTAGGCCTTGTCAGCGACCGCCTTGGCCCCGCCCTTGACCATCTTCGGCGCTGCACTGCCGTGGTGCGCGTCCAGGCGCTCGGCGTCCTGCAGCTGCCGCAGTCGCCTCCTCGCGTCTGCCCGCAGGCGCCGCTCCCTGCGGTGCCAGGCGGGGGAGCGCGACCGCGCTCTGCGGCCCTCCGTGGGGCTGGGGGCTATGGCTCCGCGGGCGCGCGCCCGCCGCGGGCAAACTGCCTGCGTCCCGCGCCGCGCTGCCAAGCCACCTGGGGGAGGAGGAGGAGGAGGAGGAGGAGGAGGAGGAGGAGGAGAGGAGGAGGAGGGAGGAGGAGGCGGAGGAGGAGGAGGAGGAGGAGGAGGAAGGAGGAGGAGGGAGGAGGAGGAGGAGGAGGAGGAGGAGGAGGAGGAGGAGAGGAGGAGGAAGAGGAGGAGGAGGAGGAGGAGGAGGAGGAGGAGGAGGAGGAGGAGGAGGAGGAGGAGGAGGAGGAGGAGGAGGAGGAGGAGGAGGAGGAGGCGAGAGGAGGAGGAGGAGGAGGAGGAGGAGGAGGAGGAAGGAGGAGGAGGAGGAGGAGGAGGAGGAGGTGGAGGGGGGGGAGGAGGGAGTGGCGCCTTCACGACCTGCCGAGGGGGTGGGGCGCGTGCTTGCAAGCGGCATCGGTGGGCGCAGCAGTGGCCTGCGGCCCCTCGGCCCGTGACCCCGCGACGCCTTCGGGCGCCTGGAAGGAGGGCTTGGTCTGCGACCCCTATCCCCTCCTCCTCCCCTCCCTCCTCCTTCCTCCTCCTCCTCATCCTCCTCCTCCTCCCCCTCCTCCTCCTCCTCCTCCTCCTCCTCCTCCTCCTCCTCCCTCCCTCCCTCCTCCTCCTCCTCCCCCCTCCTCCTCCTCCCTCCTCCTCCCCCTCCTCCTCCTCCTCCTCCTCCTCCGTCCTCTCCTCCTCCTCCTCCTCCTCCTCCTCCTCCTCCTCCTCCTCCTCCTCCTCCGCACACCTGCGGGCGTTTGAAGACATAGCCGGCTGCTTGAACGGTGGTCCGTGGCCTTGTCCCAAGGGTCAGCTCGCGTGTGGCTTGAAAACGGGGGCCGAGGGATGTACGGTGGCCCTTGGCCCAGCGAGCGTGGAAGTTTGCACATGGACTCGGTGGGGTGAGCTGTGGCCCGTGGCAGCAGGAGAAGGAGCAGCCGCAGCGGCGGCAGCAGCGGCAGCAGCAGCAGCGCGATTTACGGCAGGGTGGCTCCTAACGCCGCTCAGCTCGCATTCGTCGGGAGGGGAAGACGGGCACCACTAAACATGCAAGTGCCACGCCGTCGCTGAAAGCCTGTCGGTGTGATGTTCACTCGTTCTGTCCGGAGACCAGGCAGCCCCTCAACAGCACAGCACAGCACCACAGCAAACAAAATAACATCAGCACAGGGGTCGAGCGGCTGGGCGGGCCGGGCCAGCGACGGCCGCAGCGGCGACGACGCCGTCGTCGTGGATGCCTCCGAACACCTCGGGAGGCCCCCGCTGCCGCGGCAGGGCGCGGCCTGGGAAGCCGGCCAGGATGGCGTGGACCTCGGGGCCGGGCGCCGGTGTTTCGCGGATGCTGGCGGGACGCCGACAGCGCGGCACGAAGCGACGACGGCGACGGCGGCGGCGGACGGCGACGATAAAACGGCGGCGCCGACGGTTGCGACCTGCCCCTTATAGGAGAAGCACTGGTGGCTCGCCCTGATCCTGAACCCGAAGGCGCCCGGCGGCTGCAGGGCATCCCTCGGCCTTCTCCGCATCCGCCTCGTCGTCCTCCTCCGCACTTCCCTCCTCCTCCTCCTCCTCCTCCTCCTCCTCCTCCTCTTCCCTCTCCTCCCTTCTTGAAATGTCCGGTGCTTTTCGAAAAGGTGCTGTCTCGCCTGCGTGGGCTCCCACCTTTTGTGGGGGGGTGGAGGTTTTTGCAGGGCTCTTTTTGTGCTTCTTTGCTTCTTTCCCCTTATCAGTCATAACTTATCAGTATAAGTTCCGACTCCAGTTCCGACGCCTGGCTCCAGCTCCAGTTCCAATGCCTGGGGAGGTGACCGTTTAGGTTGCCACGATGTTTCCTTGGTCCTGTCCCTTTCACCCGCTGGATTAAAGGTGGAGATCAGAACAACACAGAACGCCTCGCATCCTGGTTCTTCGTTCGTCGGCAGGCATGAGAGCTTCGATCTTCGATCGGACTCGAATCCTGGATCGTCAAACGTCGCTGTTCGACCGGTCCTCAATTCTCGACCTTCGAAGTATCCTGGATCCTCGATCCTCTGTCCTCGATCTTCGATCGAGCCTCCATCATCGATCTTTGATCGGTCCTGCATCCCAGACCTCGGTACTATCGAGCCTGGATCCTCGATTCTTCATCTTCGATCTTCGATCGAACATCCATCGTCGACTTTCGATGGATCGTGGCCGCTCGATCCTGGCTCGTCCATCCTCGAACGGCCCTGGTTTCTCGATCCTCGACCTTCGATCCTCGATCGCTCATCGGTTGTCGAACTTTGATCGGCCTTGGAACCCGGAGCCTCGCTTCCAGTCGACATTGGCTCGCTGGTCCTCAGTCGATCCTGGGTCATCGACCCTGCATCCTCGGTCCTGGATCGTCGATCCTGGACCCTATTTCCCGGATCGGCCTCGTCACCCCAAGATCACCCCAGGACCGAACTTCCCCCAGTGGGTCCCGTGAGCCGACGCGACTTACAGGCGGCCTCAGGGTGACTCCAAGACGACCCTGTGAGCGGCACGAAGCAACGGCCATCGCTGAGGACAGCCACCCAGGCGCAGATAGGACGAGCCTCGCGAGTCTGCGGCAACTGGAATCTGGCCTGCACGGTGAACATGATACGCGGGGCAAATCAAGAGTGGTGATGGTCAGAAGAGATGGGGGAAGAGGAATAGGTCTACGGCGCAGATGGAACCGCACAGAAGACCAGAAACTCGGATTTCAGAAAGTCTCAAGCGAAATCGCCCTTTCCTGGAATAATGAGATGCGATGGGAAGTGTGTTGTGAGGAAGTCCCACGCGAAATCGCCACCGTCTGGCGGTTTTAAAATCGGTTGTTTTTTCCCAGCCATCCTGTGGTATTGGGTCCTCGTTTTAGAAAGGCAGCGCCCCGCGTCACTCAGTCCTCGTCCTCCCCCTCCTCCCTCCTCCCGTCATCCTCCTCCCCCTCCTCCCTCCTCCTTGCGTTTCCCCCTCCCAGTACAGCGTTTCGTGGCCCCATAGGGAGCTCCACATAAGGTCCTGGTGCTAGCGCCCGCATGCGTCACGCACACCCATTTCGGCACACCCTTCACACGTTTCGTGGCCCGGGAGCTCCACCGAAGGCCCCAGTGCCACCACCCGCATGCGTCACGCACACCCATTTCGGCACACCCCTCACACGTTTCGTGGCCCCAGAGGAAGCTCCACCGAAGGCCCCAGTGCCACCGCCCGCATGCGTCACGAACACCAATTTCGGCACACCCCTCACGTTTCGTGGCCTGGGAGCTCCACCGAAGGCCCCAGTGCCACCGCCCGAATGCGTCACGCACGCCCGTGTCGGCACACCCCTCACACGTTTCGTGGCCCCACAGGGAGCTCCACCGAAGGCCCAGTGCCACCGCCCGAGCGCGTCATCCCCTCCCACGTGTCGTGGCCCCAGGGGGAGCTCCACCGAAGGCCCCAGTGCCACCACCCGCATGCGTCACGCACACCCATGTCGGCACACCCCTCACACGTTTCGTGGCCCAGGAGCTCCACCGCAGGCCCCAGTGCCACCACCCGCATGCGTCACGCACACCAATTTCGGCACACCCCTCACACGTTTCGTGGCCCGATAGGGAGCTCCACCGAAGGCCCCAGTGCCACCGCCCGCATGCGTCACGCACACCCATTCCGTCACACCCCTCACACGTTTCGTGGCCCAAGAGCTCCACCGAAGGCCCCAGTGCCACCGCCCGAGCGCGTC